ATGCTTAGCTCCATACTACCTGCTGATTCCTGCAAATCGGAAATCACTTGTTAAAAGCTGTCAGGAGCAAGCGAGACAGGCTGGTGTGGGTTTTTTCCCCCCTGGCCGACTGACAATCTTACAAATTGCACAGATCCCCTGTATAGTCATGTAACTGTTTGGGGGACTAGTTAACATAGGCAGCGTCCTGCCAGATTGGACCAACAGCCAATGCAATCCAGTTTTCATTTTCTAAGCTTAACTTGTCAGATATTCCTTGGAAACTCACAGCTAGGGTGCAACTGTGAAGCTGATGGCGTTATCTGATTGTTGACGCCTAGCATTTCATAATCCATGTTGGCAGAACATGAGACTCTTAAACTCAGAGTCGTGGGTTTGAGGCCCATGTTGGGCAAAAGATTACTCAACAAACACACAAGACGTAACCGGCTGTGTTCTTAGATAAATAAGGTAGGCTATTCATTGTATCAGGGATGCGGGTGGTGCTGTGGGTTAAACCACAGAGCCTAGGACTTGCCGATCAGAAGGTTGGCGGTTCTAATCCCTGCGACGGGGTGAGCTCCCGTTGCTCGGTCCCTGCTCCTGCCAACCTAGCAGTTCGAAAGCACGTCAAAGTGCAAGTAGATAAATAGGTACCACTCCGGCGGGAAGGTAAACAGCATTTCCGTGCGCTGCTCTGGTTCACCAGAAGCGGCTTAGTCATGCTGGCCACATGACCCAGAAGCTGTACGCCGGCTCCCTCGGCCAATAAAGCGAGATGAGCACCGCAACCCCAGAGTCGGCCACAACTGGATCTAATGGTCAGGGCTCCTTTACCTTATTCATTGTATCAAATCATAAATTTCAACAGAAGTAACTCATAAAGTTCAACAAACGAACAAAGCAGAAGACCCAGTGGATCAGACCATTCTTTTGTCAGTTCATGCATAAGGTCCATCCGTGTAATAGTGTCTATTCCTCCTGTCTGTTCATAAGGTCCAAAAAATCCACATGAAAGGTTGTTACAATTCCACAGAATCCTTTCGCAGAGTCTAAAGACAAGGATTTCTGGAATATCGGCCTTGTTTCACCGTCCTGGGCTTCATCAGTAGTTAAAGCTCATACGTGATATTACAGGACAGTGGGCCTTATGGCATAGTAATAGCTTATGTGACCATAGGTTTGTTTGTTGTTGTTTTGCTAGGGCAAAAGATCACTGCATTGCAGGGGGTTGGATGAGATGAACCTCTACGATTCTATGAACATTGAGGCTTTGTGCTGAAAATCCACCCCCATGGTGCCGTCCAAATGCAGGAAGAGTACTGCTGGTGCACACACGTACACATTCACACAAATATACACTGTGCGATATCTTTATCCCTCTCTCCAAAACTGTTTCCCCCTTGTTTTAGAGCAGACTGCACAACACAAAATGCGGGGAGTTTCCACCTGCCCTTAATGCCCATAATGGGGGGTGGGGAGGGAAGGACCCTGGCTCCAGGTTCAATCCAGAGAATCTCTATGTACAGCTGAGCAAGACTTCAGTCTGAAACCCTGGAGGGGCTCTATCAGTCAGTGTAAACAATACTGAACTAGATTGGCCCATGATCTGACTCGATACAAGGCAGCTGACTGTGAACGCTTAAAAAAGAAAACGAAAACGCCCTCTTCCACTGTTCTTCTTCGAGGAAACAGAAAGGGATACATATATAATCCCTGTAGTAAGATTGCAGTTTATCAGACCGCCCCCACGCCCCACCCTTCTGTGTTAAGGACACTCCCGTGAAAATGATTCATTCACGCAAGGACTTTTATGATAGTGCCGAGGTTCAAGTTTTCAGCTTTTAACATTCTCGCTCTGTGCATACTGATCGCATTACCTCTGGGAAAGCTCTTATTAATCTCGGTGTCAGAGCTGTTTCAACAAATCTACTGTAATAATGAAAAGTCATCTTATCACATTTTCCTCTCAGTAAATTTACTATTCTTTGATAAGGTTGCAAACAACTGGTAAGTAATTGATCTGTAATTAGTGTGGCAACTGCGCAAGATAGACTGCGCTGGGATTTCCTCATTTATCTGCCTGGTGCTGTGCGTTCTGCTCGGCAATAAATTATTCAGCCTCTCCTTTAAATACAAACGGTTTCATGCAGCCCCCGTTATTTAAGGCACTTTCTGAAGGTGGGAATGCCATTTAAATTTCTGATTATCTGTCACCAATGGAATTCTTGTAGGAGAGATCATTTTTCACACCCGACTTGCCATGCACTTACTTAGCATGCCATTCCCTGCCTGATTCTTTGAATGGAAGACTAAGAGTGTCTCTTTGATCTGTTCCTGGCTTGCCCCATTTATCACTTGGCTGCACTAAGCTTCTTGATAAATGTCATTTCTTGGAGCTCAGCTCTTCCAGAGCTACCCCGGCTAAGGAGGCACCACCACAATACAGGATAGTATCGCCGCATTGTCAACAGAGAGTTTTCCATTACTTAAAAAAAGCTCAATCAGCCACGATAGTTTATAAGAATATGCTATGTGCCAAAGCTCAAAGAATGGCCCTTTGACCTGATATTTTCACAACTTGGGACTTTGATCACTAGACAGTTGGCCTTTTTCAGTACTCAGAACAACTCCTTGATAGATATTTAAGGAATGACTTGAGGCCATCAGACAAGTCACGCAATGCCCAGGAGAAAAAGCACTGCCAACCTTGTGGGAATACCCCATGTTAATGCTTCATAAGGTTTGGGGAGGCAACAGGTGCTGGCTTGGGGAAGATCTACTACTTCCTTCTGGCAATGGAAGCCAGTATTTCCCATCAAGTAGCAGCTGTTCATTGTCAACAGCTGATTCACAGGGACACAGGCTGCTGGTATGTCCTCACAGGCGCTATGAGAAAGGTGGCCTAGGATGTTTTTAACAGATGAGTCTGAATTCTATTTTTCATTTCCCAATACCCACAATGCAAATTTAAAAACTGAGTAGGCTGCAACACTGGGTCAGTTAAAAATGAGTGGTAAACTGTTTTCCACCTTGGGTGAAAAATATTTGCACCAAAGGTTCAAAGACTCTGAAAGTGCCACATATGTATGTGTTTTGTGTTTAAGGGGTAGGGTGTGGAATGGGCAGAAATAAGCTATGACAAGCACATCCAACAGGTAGATTGTGATCTACCGGTAGATTACTGGACGTCTGCAGTAGATCACTGGCAGATCACTGGTTCCCCCCAAAGAAGCTCAACAAGTTTGGCTCCCCTAAAAATTGACCTGATCGCAGTCTCTTGGGAGTTGAGCCACCCCTGAGCTATGAGAATCACTTTTAGGATATTGTGGGGTGCATATAAATAGAAGTGTGTGTGTTTTTGAGAGTGAGGGAGAGGTTTAAAAAGCATGCCATGTAGGAATATTCTAGGCTTATTCACACACGGCATTGAACACAGGTACAAGCTGTCTCTGCGACAGGGCAAGTGTTTGTGTGGAAGAATATGCACTTGTTTATTTGCACAGTTCAGCTTTTGTGTGCACAGACTGTACACCTGTCGAATGGAAGATGTGAACAGCCATTATAAAATGGGACAAGGGGGGTCTGGAGAATCACGAAGCCAAAGGGTACAACATTATTAATGAGGCCTATGAGAACAAGCAAAATGTAGACTGGCAGGAAAATTGACAGAGCTGAGGGAATATGAGAAAGGAAAGTTGGGTTTTCGTTTGCACAATTCTTTCTTCTTGAGTGATGACAGTTCATTTACAGGAGTAGCATTTCTAGCGTTACTCGGTTCCTTCTTGCAATATTCTCTTTTTCACCTGACCAAAATCATTTTGCGTCTGTTGCAAGTATTGCCACTCTTCTCCCTTTTCCAGTTCATTATTGGTAAATGTAATATGTGTGGGTTACACTTTGGTATCCTGTGGTGAGTACCACTGTCAACCACAGATTAAGTTAAGATAGCCATGTTTTCCCCCCACCCCCCCACCCCCTATATTGGCTTCTTGCATTCCTGAGTGCATGAAGATAGTTATTTATTATTATATCATGTTCTTTGTTTGGATATCACACTCATATATGTATCCGGGAAGAAAATGCAAATCTTTCTCCCAGTTTGAGCTCCTTTCACAAGTGTCATATTAAAAAAAAAAAACCTGTTAAGAGCGGCTTTTAAAAATGCATTAAAAATTAAACAATACCATAAAAGCAAAATTTAAAATGCTGCAGTGCAGTATAAGCAGATAATAAAACAGCAGAATGCAGCAGATTAGCAGATTTAAGAGTCACACATGAAAAGTGAGCTAAATTGTAGGAGATTTTGGAGATGTCTGAAAAGAAGGAGCCTAGCAGATCTCTATGGAAGTGGCATTCCACAGTCTTGGTAACATGTGCATTTGATTTCACCAAAGGATGGGGCAGAGAACAGGGCCCCTAAAGCCAGTGATTAAATTGTGGACAGGCTCATATGAGAGTAGATTGTGCGTGAAAGTGGCGGGAAGGGGCAGTTCTTCCCTCCCTCAGATGAACTGTAATATGCAGTTCCTCAGCTTGCATTTACAAAAAAAGTGTACATTTCTAGCATTTGTAGAACCTGAGATATGACACAAAATGTCCAGGTACTATTCTTGTTATTTTGTAAGAAACTAGCCCGCTGCTCCCCTTTTCACTATTTTACATCCCGTGGCAATGGGAAACAAAGTAGAGATGTGCTCCAATCTTCAGATCCCAGATGACGTTACGAGTTCTACCTTTCGGACTAGTTGAAGTGTCCTGTCATTGCAACTGGGAGGGCATAACTGATGCCTAGCCTGTTTTCTCCAGAAATTATCTCCTCTGGCAAACCAACCACAGCTGGTAAAAGTCACTTCACACAACTGCTGTTGCTTGAGAATCCAAGAAAAGCGCTTAATCAATGAGCACCCACAGACTACATACCTGCTCCTTTATGACGTGTGCAATCCCATCTAGAACAAGCTGTAGAACTCTCAGAACACTAGAATTCCTAACCACAGTATCTCTGGATTAAGGTTCCATTTGGTCACCTGTATGCAACCCTGAACTGAAGCCAGGCACGGTTTTGTCACCGCTACTGCTTCCCTGGGACCACGTGGCAGAACTGAATGTCATTAGCATACTGATGAAACGGGAGTAGCATTCATCATTTCGTGTTTTGAACGTGAACCAGCTTGGCCAGAATGAGAAGCAGATGTGCTCGTACTGTGTCAGATTTCAGGTACAAAACCCAAGAAGTCAGGATGCAAAAATAAGAATGTGGGGGACACCTGTTTAACAGTCCATTGGTGCACTGTGGAATAGAAGCATGGGGCAGGGTGGAGTTTAATTTATCAGGTCTTATTATTCAGTGTGGTGGTGTTGAAAGCACAGGCACAATTCCCAAACCAACAACTGGAGAGACTCTTAACACACACATCCCTGTGCTAATGGGGGGGTGTTTGTGTGTGTGTGTGTGTGAGAGAGAGAGAGAGAGAGAGAAATTAAATGAAACCTTGATGATATGCACAGTAAATCAGTTATTAGGCCAAAGATGCTTAGAATGTGAAATTAAACGGGGGTGGGGGGAAGCTTTGAGGTCTAAATAGTTCAAGCTGCTTTGCCCTTTGCTGTTTTCCCATTAGATTTAGCTGAATCTGGTGCATTTCAGATCTGATTGCATGGAATATCTGCCCTTCTCTGGCTCCTTTGGTGTTGCTTGTTCGGAATGGCATATCAAAGTCAAACAGCTGTAGAACCTCATTAATCGGCACAAATGGGAAACGGCAAAGAGGAATCCCAGGGTGCTTAATGAATGATTGATATGTGGTGTGTGTGTGTGTGTGTTTTTGTAGGGAATCCCTCCATATGAGCCAACAGGAGAGCTATGAGCATCACTGCCTGCCACAGAACAAACAATGGCGCCTGGGAGCGAGATACCTTTGTTAATCCTAGACAACTTCTTGTGGCTAACCAGACTGGGCAGAACTATGAAAGCATCATTCAGACCATGCATAAAACCACCAAATGGAGTCAAAGCAGGCTCTGTTCCCTTTTCTTCAATGGCATTTAAGAACAAGCAGCCATTCTCCAAATTCTTTATTATATAACGTTTAAAGACTGGAAAGTGGCTGCACTAGCCTTGGGCTGTTATCTACTGCTAACACTTTCACAACCCACTTTTCCTCCAGAGCGCTCTGGTTCTGTTCCTCCCCGTTTTATCTTCACAACAGCCTTGTGAGGTAGGTTCCACTGAGAGAGACTGTGACTAGCCAGAGTAGACCCAGTGGGTTTCATGGGTGAGCAGGGATGTGAACCTTGGTCTCCCAGATCTTAGTCCAACACTGTAACCCCTAAACCACACTGCCTTAGCTTTCTGTTAGTAGTCAGGTTGTGGCGGCAACTCTTGTGCTTCTCTACTAAGCAGAAATTGGTGGGGTATGGGCTTTTTTATTTCGGGGGGGAGGTACAATTCTCAGCTACGTTTACTGGCTTGCACTTGAATATATTCAGCATTCCTGCTGCATAGAGAAAAGAAAGAAAACAGAGTATTTTGAAGAACATTTGCTATGCTTACTTGTTTATATCACATAACTGCCTTGGCAATGTAATTCCATATCTAACCATCACTCCCACCTTTTTTTCTTGGTTGTTGTTTTTTAGAGCAGGCAATGGGATTTGTGTTTTTTTGGAATCCACTGTTTGCAGTAATTGCGTATGGAACTAGTGGAGAAGCCAGAAATGTAGGTGTTCTTGAGGAATAACAATATACAGTTTTAAACATTGTGGGGTGGTGGGGGGATATGCACTTCTCCTTAAATGGCATCCCCTGGGTTTATATATTTAGATGTGTGGTGCTGTGGAGCTAGCAAGTGGGATTTGAGACTAAACAGAGCAGGATGAGTCAAGATTTTCCTTCACTTTTACCAGAACTTCTGCAGCTGCTTTTACTGTAAGTTCTTTTGGTGGCGATTAATTTTTGAAGGCTCACTCACACACCCAAGTCATTACTTGATGCTGCAGTCAACAAGGAATGAACACAAGCATGAAAAATGGCCTTTGGACAAATTGGAGTTGTGTTCAGTGTGGACATGGCATTGGCAAGGCAAAGTGTCTACTATTATCTCCTTTGTGTGTGTGTGTGTGTGTGTGTGTGTGAGAGAGAGAGAGAGAGAGAGAGAGAGAGAGAGAGAGGACAACATGCTTTCAACCATCTTTGTGGACAAAGAAGTAGATATAGCCCCTCAGCTGTTAATCTTTTCAGCATGGGGATCCAATTGCCAAGAAAGCTATGAGGTCATGGCTAGGGCTGGGAGATATCAGCTTTTCAACATCGCAATGTACCATCAGCCAATACATTGCGATGTTGAAAAGCAGAGGGAGGAATGATCTGCATCGGCCACAGCCCTGTGAGGTACTGGGGTGAAAATGCCATCGCTCCTGAGGGAGCTGAAGTTTTGTCCAGACTTCAGCTTTAGCAGAAGTCAAGGTTTGTTCTTGGCTTACCACAACACAACAGGCCAATCCACAACACAACAGGCCAATCCACAGCTTATTTCCCAGTGGCAGCCATGTTTTTGTTTTGTTTTGTTTTATTGCATTACATACCTACACTCTGCTTGTTCATGTTAAAGCATTGTTTATTTTAACTATACTTTAATATGTGTGAGCTAGGTCATTAAAGCAAAGAAAATGTGGACACACACACACACAAAAAAGAAAATGTGGACACAGTGGCATAGCATGGATTGCCAGTGCCCGGAGCTGCGCAGAGGGGTGGGAGACAGGAAGGGAAACGGAGTATACACGCGCATTCAACTGCCTAATGGGGTCCACGCCACCCAGGAGATTGCAGCCATAGAGATAAGAAAAGAAGAGCTGTTCCGTTGTCTGAAGAGGTAACTTCCTGGATTGCATAGAGAAGCAGTTTCAACAGAGCTCAACAATGGAACCGCGCAACTGTAATGAGGCAGCACCATGTGTTGAAATTTTGCTCCCCTAACAATTTTGCACCCGGGGCAACTGCCTCACACTACGCCACTGAGTCGACAGGCATCCAATAGCTGTTACAAAAGCGTAAAGCAAGTGCAAAAGCATTAGTCAGCAGCTGGTTCACACACCTGAGCAAGGGGCATATAGCCAATCACTGGATTATTGTGATAAGGGTGGTTTTCAGGATAAGCATGGTGGGCGTCTTCCATTTCTGGGTTCTCCAAGTGAACCCAAAATACAGCAGGTTGGCAGCCACAGCAACAGCCTTCTCAGCGGTTACATCCCAATTGTAGGATGCGCTCCCCACCATAGCTTTCCTGGCACCTGCCTTTTCATTCTATCTCATCTGCTTTACCTTGACTAGGTTTTTTGTTTTATGCTGCTCCTAGTTACTTTATTGTTTCTAACAGAGTATTTTGTTTTGATGTATCTGATCTGTTTTAATCTTGTAAATTGGAATGCTTTTGAAGGCTGGGGTCTAACACCCTTCAAAATAAATCATGTTATGCCTTGATATAGAAGGCTCAAGTACAGATTGGCAGGCTTAACGCTAGACCATGTGGATGCTGAGGGGTTCTAAGAGCACAAGAAATAACATTTCCCTTAACTTTCTCCTCTATAATAAAACTTTCCCAGTTCTCTTCTACTGTACCTCGCATTCTAAGTGCTTCATCATTTCTCCCGAATCCTCTCCAAGGCTTCTTAATTTGTGTCAACCGAACTGAACATGATGGTCCAACAGAGACCTAAACAGCGTTGCGTTGAATGGTGGCATTATTTACTCCCCATTACATCGATGCAATTTTTCTGCTAATTTATCCCCAAATGGTGTGTGCCTCCCCCCCGCCTCCCTTTCGCAATGCCATTAAACAATTCAGACGCAACTGTCACATCTACTTTCAAGGAAAGATAATAGGCATTGAAATGTGCATGAAAGTAAAACAAGTTTTTGTATGTTGGGAGGACTGAGAATTGGTAATTAAGGGGTTTCTTTGTGTCTAAGTCCCTAACTTAAATCAAGCTCAGAATAGTAGTTACTAAGATTTGTTAGTCCGTGTTATCTGGGGGTTTTATTATCAAAAAGACAAAAAACAAAAATCCCAACCCATTTGTTTGGAGATCTAAACAGATAGATTAAGGGCTGGAAGAGCATGGAGTTTCCACAGAGGATGCTGCCAGTCAACGGAAATGAATGTTAGGCACTGGTAACCGGCTTGCATTCTCTGCAGAAAAATACTGAATGAGCAGCATTCCCTAGTAGAGAATTTGATTTATGGACTATCTGTAGGTAAATTCCAATGACAACTATATCAGAGTTTATTTTTCATGTTTTATATCAGCTTAAGGGCTACCATATGTCCAGATTTTCCTGGGATTTCAAAGGAGGAATTAACGTCCCGGGGGGATTTCCGAAAGGTGGCAAATCAATCGAAAAATTGCGTTTTGGGGAGCTGAACAACTTTTGGGGTGTCCTGGTTTTTACTGGGTAAAATATGGCAATCCTACATCAGCTCTCCCCCTCCAAACAATATAACCAAGGTTCCTCATTGAGAAGATCAAGAAATGGCAAACATCTCTGAAAGATGGTTTGCATCCACCTCTGCTGACATTCTCCTGCAATGTGTGGCCAAAGGAATGTATTTAACGTTTTCTGGAGCACTCTCTTGGTTTATGCAGGGCGAGAGTGAGACTTCACAGGTCTGCCAGGATTTCATGCATAGCTGTCAACTTTTTTTCTTTTTTTAAGGGAAATTCCCTTATTCCAAATAGGATTCCTTGCAAGAAAAGGGAAAAGTTGACAGCTATGATCTCATGTGAACCTGTGCAGAATATGTCACAGAATCCTCTGCGTAGCAGTTTCAACTATCAAAAAGTCTGTATCATTCCTATGGGGCCTTTCTGTAAACCAAACCATGAAGAATTACATATTTTTCAGTACAGACCTCTGCCTGCAGTCCGCCATAAAGTCAAATGTAAGACCCTAGATGTGAGAGGCCTTCATTCTGGTCATAGCAACACCATACATTTAAAGCAGATGGTTTTCCCCAAAGAATTCTGGGAATTGCAGACCTGGCAGGGGGAGGGTTTGCAAACTACAGTCCCCAGAATATTTTGCAGAAAGCCATGTACTTTAAAGGTATGGTGGGGAACTGGTGTCAGAAAAAAACCACAACACTAGATTGAGCATAATTAGTGACCGATCCATTTTGATCAGCCTAGGGGTTTGTTTCACTGGGTATCAGTTAACTGAGCTGAGTTTCGTTTCCATTGATATTGCAATATATTATGCTGTAGGAAACATTTTCTTCTTAGAAATGTAGGCTAGATCTATGCACTATTATGTGACACCACGGTATAATAGCAAAGTGACAACTGGCAGATAATAACCTTGGTTTCTTAGCATCTTAGTAGGCTTCTCGTGGGCCAGAAAAGTTGTAAGGAAGGTGTGGCGAAGGTTTGGCACAAAGCTTTAATTTACAGTTGTTAGGGCTGAGATATAGGCAGCTGTTACAGTAGAATCAGGGGCCGGATATCAGAAATCACGCACTAGGACCCAGCAGTTATGCCAAGAGATCACAGATGATCGATTCAGAACCAAGGAAACACAGGAAAGCCCCCAAAAGAAATCAATCCTTCATACAATTGATTTAATCATGTGTTCACAGGTAACAAAAGATGTGCTTTATAACCTATCCACCACCCCATAATGCACATGCGGTGATAGAATGGAGTCTAAAGCAGAAAATGTTGTCTGAGGAAGCCACACCAGGGTTGATAACCGAGCACAAATCAAAGCTGATTACATTAGATACAGAAGAGACAAGTAAGAGGGGATTGCAGTGAAAAGCAGAAAACATACAGGCCAGCTATTTAAGTGAGAGAGAAATGAAGTCAAATTCAATGACCTTTATTTTCATTAGCTCTAAATCTGATGCCCGGACAGTGGAATGCACTAATCTCACCACCACCAAAATCAAGAAAGGCATAAAATCTTCCCAGGCCGGTGAAGCGAAATACAGCCAGCCTTCCATTTAATCTTCCCCTCCCACAGTTCCTTTCCAAATAAAACTCCAAATCGCCTCATGCTTTGTCAAGGACTAATAAATGAACAAGAAACTTGCAATTCAGTAAAGCACTTAAAAATGCGAATACTTCTGACAGAAAGAGAAGTTCACTCAGCAGAGAATTGTGAAACACTGGGGGATACTTTTTCATATTAACAAAAAGAAGCACTTTCCCTCCATATAAATATTTGCTTTATTGGAAAGCTTCTCAGTTCATTGTTACACCATTTGATATCCCCCCGCTGAGTGATATGGGACTATTATTAGAAAACATAGCAGCAAGGGGATTTAACAGAGTTCCAGCACAAAAAGGTCTGCTTCCATTTTGTGAATGCATAATTATGAGTACTGTTGGTTGTCTTCTTGAATTTTCACACATAGGGTACTAATTTACACTTATATCGCACCTTCCATGCGAGTATCTCAAGATACTTTGCATGTATTAATAACCTGCATCCAATGGTGAGCTTGTCTATTTAGCCCTATTTTATAAAAATGGAAATTTAGTAGAGAAATGTATAGATTACTCTGAATTATGCCTGCTCTGTAAGGCCTAGAAATCTTGACTCTTCCCCTCAAGCCAAGTGCAATGATTTACTAACAGTTGTTTCATGAACTACTAGTAGATGAGATAAATGTAGCAAATGCTTCACAATTTGCTTCTCTGTTAATCTAGCTTGTCTGTTTTCTGACCACCTGGTATCACAGATGGGGGAGTTTCCATGCCAGCAGCTCTGGGTACCAAAAGTGTGTGGCCCTCAGGACCTGCTCAATGCATTTACTGCCTGAGGCGAATCAGCAAAAGGAATCCCTATCCAGTCAAGAACTGTGCCTAGAACCCAATGCCAGACAAATTACTGAGGAACTCGAGACAGAAGAAAACCCCATCCAGAGACCTTCTCTGGCTATCTTGTACCTGTATTGTTGGAAGCAGTAGGCCTCTGAATACCCGTTCCTGGTATCCATCATACAGGCTGGACACTGAGGTCCATTTCCGAGGGCCTTCTGGCAGTTCCCTCACTGCAAGGTAGATGTGAAGCTCCATGGAACCAGGCAGAGGACCTTCTCAGTAGTGGTGCCTACCCTGTGGAATGCCCTCCCAAACAGATAAACAACTATTTTACTTTTAGAAGATATCTGAAGGCAACCTTCTTCAGGGAAGTTTTTAAAGGTTGATGTGATGTTGGGATACTGCCAGGGAGATAAAGTCCATCATGGCCCCCAAGCCGGCTGCCGGACGATCCATCGATCTCCCGTAGACACGCAGTATCAGCAATTAGCGACATGAGCTCCAGAACATTCTAGAGCCGATGCACACTCTTTATCAGCAGATAATGCACAGCAGAAGTCGCACTCAGGAGAGCATTATTTACAAGTTTTATTCAGCGTTGATCAGAACAAAGAAAAACATGACTGCCTGCATCAGTGTCTCCAGACACACAGAGAGAAACGAAAGCAATAGCAAACATAAACATCCTGTGAACAGGACATGCGCAGACTCTGACTCACAAAGCCTGCTCCCTTTTAAGGTGGAACGGAAATATCCTAACATCCTCCCCCTTTCCGTGTAACCTGTAGTACCTGTGGTTCAACCCAATTGCAACCTTTGTACATAAACCTTAAGTTGTTCTCTGTTAACAACCTTAGACAACAGATCAGCAGGAATTTCATTTCCTGCCATGTAGGACACCTGAATGAGTCCTTTCTGAATACACTCTCTTGCACGATGTAGCTTAATCTGCAAGTACTTGGTCCTTTGCTTGCAACTCTCCGAGTTCAGCAAAGCCAAACAAGATCTATTGTCTTGATACACTTGTACAGGACATTTCACAGAAACTCTGATGTCCTTAAACAGTTGCATCAACCATTCACAATCCATGAGTGAAAATGACAGAGCATGCTTCACAGGAACTTAGGCTCACTGTCGTCTGCTTTTTGCACAACCAGTCAAACAGGCAGTGGTTGTACATGTAGCATACTCCAGAAGTGCTTGTACCATCCGTGGTGTCACTTCCAAAACTTGCATCTGCAAAGATTTCAAGACCTCCAGTCTTCTGACTGGTGAACCTCAGCCTGTAGTGCAAAGTCCCTTTCAAATAGCGGGCTATGCGCTTCAGAGCTTTCCAATCCTGAACAGTAGGATTGTTAGCATGTCTGCTAAGCAGGTTAGTGCTTACAGCAATGTCAGGTCTTGAGCATCTAGCAATGAAATTCAACTTGCCTAGAATGCATCTGTACAGCGTAGTGTCAGAAAACGCTTCAGCAGTACTGTCTACCTGGTAACCTGTCACCATCGGTGTGTCTGCTGGGTTTGCATCAACCAAATTCAACCTGGTTAAAACATCAGCAATTTTCTGTGTTTGGTGTACCAGAAAATTACCTGCTTGGTCCCTCTCCACCTGCAGAGAAAGATAGTTGGATACCTCACCAAGATCCTTCATGTCAAAGTGCTCCTTCAGCTGAGCAAGGGTGCTTTGGTATAAAGCCTGATTCTTCCAAAACATCAGAAGATCATCAACAAAACATAAACAATACAGTTTGTTTTGCCCCTCCTCCTTGACAAACACACACGGATCAGCTTTGCCCTGGTGAAAACCTAGAGAAAGCAATGTCTCAGTGAGCTTTGTGTTTCAACACCTGGCACTCTGCATGAGACCATATAAGGATTTCCGCAGTTTACAGACCATTCCCTTCTGTATCTGCATCCCGTCTGGTGGAAGCATAAACAGCTCCTCCCCCAAAATCCCGTACAAAAAAGCTGTATTAATGTCATGATGGGAAACATGCAGTTTCTCCTCCGCAGCGATCTTGAGCATCAGCCGAATGCTGTCATATTTGACGGTGGGTGAGTAGGGCTCGTGGTAATCCTGTCCTGGTACCTGTGAAAAACCTCTGGCAACCAATCTGGCTTTGTGTCTAACTACCTTGCCATTCTGGTCTGTCTTGGCCTTGAAGACCCATTTGCTGCCAACCAGTCTCATTCCTGGGACTACCGGTACCAGTTCCCAAGTTTGGTTCCTGTTCAAGGAATCAACTTCAGCCTTCATGGCATTAAGCCAAGGCTCAGCATCTTTAGAGGTTAACTCTTGAACCTCTTTGAAGCTTGAAGGTTCCCACACCTTCTCTGAGCTACTAAGAACAGCAGTTGCTGTCTTAGCAAACTCATCAGCAAATCTCTTTGGAGGTCTGCCCTTGGTCGCTCTTTCAGATCTGCGTACTAGATGCAAGTCTTCTGGACTCATCTCCTCCTTCTTAGGAGAAAAGTGACCAATGGTGAAGAGTGGTTGTTCCAGTTCATTGTCAGACGCATCAGATGGTCTGACTGAGGCCTTTGCGCTCTTGTAGTCTGCTGTGTCATCACTGTCACTGACATCAGCAGCAGCGCTGCCCACTGAGCTGGAATCCGAACTCTGATCATCATCATCATCATCATCCTCAGCTTCCTCAGCTTCCTCAACATTATCTGCTTTCTTCACATCACCTTCATCCTCCTCTGGGTAACTCTGGAAAATTCCCACATTTCCCCCCCACTTAGGATTGTACTCAACACTCTTTGTGAACTTAATGGACTTAGAGTCAGTCATCCACACCCTGTATGCACCTTTTTCATAACCCATGAACAAACCATGTGCCCCACGCTTCCCAAGCTTGTTGCTCTGTGGGGTGTGTACCCACATGTCAGAACCAAAGATTCTCATGTGCTTGATGTTGGGTTTCTTACCAAACATCTTCTCATAGGGGGTACAACCAATAGGTGATGACAATCTGCGATTATAAGTGTAAACAAACGAGTTCAAAGACTCCCCCCAAAACTTCTCAGGGAGATTGGCATCATGCAACACAGTTTTCAGTCCTTGCAGCAACGTTTGATTTGCTCGCTCCGCAAGCCCATTTATCCATGGTGATCTAGGCGTTGACAAGTCATGCTGAATTCCCTTCTCAGTCAGGAAAGCTTCAAACTGCTGAGAAGTGAACTCCCCACCCCGATCAGTAAACAAACAACCAATGCGTTTACCGTGAACATTCTCCAACCAAGCACAGAATGCCTTGAACCTAGGAAACGCTTGCGATTTCTGCTCGAGCATAAACACATGAATGTACCTGGAAAAAGAATCAATTAGAACCATGAAGTACCTTGCTCTGCCTAAAGAGGGCGCAAGTGGACCAACCAGGTCTGCGTGCACTAGCTGGTAGGGTTTGGAAGCCTGCCTACTAGACTCCTTGCCTTTTGGAGCAACCTTCACCTTGTTCTCTGCACAAGATACACATTTCATGTGAAACTTACAGGGTTTGATGTTCAAACCCTCAACCATCTCTGGCATCTTGGCCAGTGCCTTCCAAGAGAGGTGACAAAACCTTCTGTGTGCATCGTGAATGCATCCTGCATGAAGAACTTTGTTAGTTTGTGCAACACAACAAGAATCAACATTAGACACAACAGCACCATTGTCATCATAAGTTATACAGAACAAGCCATCCATAAACTTTGCATGCAAAATGTCCTCTTTGCCTTTTCTGATGACACAAACGCTCCTCTTGAAGGAAATCTCAAAACCACTCCCAGTCAGATGTGGGACACTGAGCAAGTTGTCTGCAGCACCTGGAACATATAGCACACCTTTGATGGTTGTTTGCAGACTTGCCAGTCTCACAGTCCCTTCTCCTGCGATTCGCAACATCTTTCCGTCAGCCAGGTGGATCTCACCTTCTTGAGGTTTGAAGGAGATAAAGAGATGGCGGTCCTTTGCGACATGGCGGGTACACCCCGAATCAATAACAAACCTGGCCTTGGCCTTTGGAGCAGTCTTTCTGGCAAGCAAAACCTTGTTTTCCACTGGTGTGGGCTTTTGCAGCTTGCCCCCCTGCTCCTGGCCATCAGACTTGCCTTTAGCCTTTGGTGAAGCTGTGCCAGCAAACAAAGCCTTGTTTTTCTCTGGTGTGGGCTCTTCACCCCCCTTCTGCTTCGGGCCATCTGCAGGCATCTGTCTCTGTTTACCTCTGGCCTTCCGGCCTCTGCAAAGGCGATGACCTTGGTTCTCACGAGAAACAGAGTTCTCAGCTGCCGTATCCTTGGCTCCCCCTGGAGGCTGGAATGCTGCCTGGGATGACATCACAGTCAGCTCCCCCTGCAGCTTGCAACTGGTGCCCTCAGCATCCCTGCATTCACTCGCATTCTGGGAAACAGCCAGGACCTCCGATGCAGTCAAACTCTGGGCTGGGATGATTGGCAGATGGGCTACTTTCAAAGCATTCCACATCTTACGTGCAGTCACGTTGCCAGCTAGCGTGGCAATTTCCTCCAGAGAGACGGACAAGACTATTACGTCTATCGCCCTTAAATCTTGGGCCTTCCATCTGTCTGTCAGAGGAACTGGAGGGGCCTCACACACAGTATGCCACACTCCAAACTGACACAGCAAACTCTCACACCACACAGCCCAGGTTTTATAATTGTGCCAATTTAGCTTTGGGCACTCAGCAGCCTCAGATGCTTGGAAAAACTCCATTCCAGCTTTTTACTTGAGCCTTGAGCCCTATTCTCTTCAGAGACTCCTTATCTTGGCAGCCACATTACTCACGAATTCTCTGGCGCAGCTCCCAGATCCATTAGTCTGCCGGAGTTCAAAGTCTCTTGCCGCTGCAAACAGAAAAGCCTTATTTGCTTTCTGCTTTTCCCACACATACCTCAGCAGTCTGTCGCAGTCTTATTCTCCTGTAAGTGCCATGAATCTGGGCCCGAAACCTGTTGTTGGGATACTGCCAGGGAGATAAAGTCCATCATGGCCCCCAAGCCGGCTGCCGGACGATCCATCGATCTCCCGTAGACACGCAGTATCAGCAATTAGCGACATGAGCTCCAGAACATTCTAGAGCCGATGCACACTCTTTATCAGCAGATAATGCACAGCAGAAGTCGCACTCAGGAGAGCATTATTTACAAGTTTTATTCAGCGTTGATCAGAACAAAGAAAACATGACTGCCTGCATCAGTGTCTCCAGACACACAGAGAGAAACGAAAGCAATAGCAAACATAAACATCCTGTGAACAGGACATGCGCAGACTCTGACTCACAAAGCCTGCTCCCTTTTAAGGTGGAACGGAAATATCCTAACAGGTTTACAGTGTTTTTAATAATTTGTTGGGATCCATCCAGAGAGGCTTGGGCAACCCAATCAGATGGGCTGCATATAAATATTAAAAGTTGTTGTTCCTAGAAACTGCAAGTAGGGAAAATGCTGTTGGACTCAGATTCTGCTTGTGGGCTTCTCATGGGCATCAGATTGGCCACTGTGAGAACAGGATGCTAGACAAGACAGGCTTTTAGCCTGATTTAGTAGGCTCTTATGTTCTTATGCCACATCACACATGTCCAGTTGTTAATCTGCAGTTCTACTCAAGACATTCAGTCGATACCTAGCACTGATTACTGCTGAACAACATAATACAGTCACAAAGCTGCACACAAGAGCCCTTCTTCAGATACCTTTAAA